GGGAACACTAGTTGCCTAGCTGTGCTAGCACCTGGAACCCTTGCAGAGAGAGGGCAAGGAGCCACCAAGCCCAGCAAGCTTATTACCAAGCAACCCAGAGACAGCCACAGGGATGGTCCAGCAGACACTTTTGTTTGTCTCACCACACTCAGTCATCATTTAGCAGTAACCAAATACTGAATTTTTGTTTACCTTGCACTTAAGGAACTTATAGTAGGATGTCAAATACATGTACACGAATACCACAATACAGAACGATCTATAATATGTACTATGTGAGTAGTCCAATTATTACGAATAGAGGAGTTTTTATGCCTTCTCATATTTTTGGTCTTAGGTTAAATATCACCTCCTCAGAAAAGCCTTCTCTGACTTCCAGAAGGAAGTCAATTCACTAAACACACACTTGCTGAATTGCTGATTGCTTTTGAAATTTTCATTACATGCAAGATTCACTGCAGTCATTTTGCCACAGCTGTTTTCCTCCGAGGATTTATGGGTTCAGCTCAGTTGATTATCAACTTTGCATGCATTTCATCTGAGGATGCCTAGCACTCTTTGAGGGTAAACTTTCCATCAGAAAGCTTTTGCTATCTTCTCTATTTTTGTAAACTGGAGCTTTGCCTCTACCCTTGCCACTCACTGACAGTGAAACCATTGCAGTGAACATTCTGAGCAACCTGTTTTAGATACTTAGCAATTTTTGGTATATTCGTCATTTGGCAGACTGGTCTTTAGACAAATTTAGGCAAAATAGAACTTCCTTATCTGAGTTGGTTTCACTTTCCACCATACCATTTCTCTATCTCCTCGCCCAGTTCATTTCCTTTCAGCACATAATAGTTGTAATTATTTCGTTGCTTTCTGGTTGTGTTTCTCCCACAGATTGTTCCTTCCTTTTGGAACAGTTGCATCCACAGCCCCTAGAATAATGATCAGCACATTGTGACACAATATATATTTGCTGAATGAAAGTTTCAAGAAGGAAAGGATCTCTTTTAATTATTAACTAATTTAGTCGTCCCAAACCTCAGGAGGTAAAGACTACTGTTGGCCCCACTATATGAATGATGAACTCAAAGTCAGAAGGCCCATGAAAGGACTTGAACTCAAGCAGTGCCTATTCCTGAGTCCACACACTTTGCGCTAAACTACCTCTAGTAGCACAGAGGCACCCATGTTACAGAAAGACTTGTACAGAGATACATGGACATAAAGGAAAGAAATATACATACATAAATAGAATATTCCTAGATTGATATTTTATATAGTAACAAATCAAGAAACAACTTAAATCCCAACAATTAGGTTATATCTAAATATATGATAAATATTATGCAGCCATTAAAAATATTGACACTGAAACATTCCTAAGAAAGAGAAATTATTTTTATTATAATGTTAAGTAAAATAGGATAAAAATTTATATATTATTCCAACTATATCAAAATACATACACTTATACATAGAGAAAAGAGATGATAACAAAATTTAACAGTAGTTATTTCAGCATTGGAATTATAGTTGATAAATACCCCAGGACAATGAAAGGTGATAATGAAGCTGGATAACATATTGATATACAGCCTAAAATAGAATGAGTGTAAACAGATGGCATATAAGAGGTTAGATAAAATTGTAAAAAGTAACCTAATTGTTAGAGTAGAATTTCTGAGGGTGGCAGAGACCACTCTGTGTTCACATTGCCTTTTCCTCCTGTGCACTGACAAAGCACATTTCCCAGCCTCCATTGGACTTAGGCGAGGTCATGTGACTGTGTTCTAGCCAACAGAATGTGGAAAATGATGTGCATTACATTAGGGAACGAAATGTAACAGCAACAAATGAGTTAATGAACAAAATCTTTTTTTCTCTAAAATAGAGGGTAGCTGGTGTTAAAAAAGGATAGATGGTGTAGAGCCATGTGACAGAATAACTAATGGCCTGAGGAAGTTTAAGAGAAGTCTTCAGACCTAAAGTGCCCATTTGAATTGGATCATGGAGATAAGAATTTTCCAGGCAAAGCAAACAGGAGAAAGGATTTCTAGATGGAGAGAGTATCATGTGTAAGTACATGGAGTGTGAAAAAAAAAAAAAAAAAAAAAAAAACATGGCCTGTGATTCAAAGGCCAGCTTTGTGGTTTGTGGGACAGATCGGAAAGACATAAAGCTGGAAAGAAACTTTGGGAAGGAACTTGTTTTAGGCTGCTGGTAAATGGGAACCAAAAAAAGGTAGCAGAGTAGTATGTCCAGATTTTCATTTTATTTTGGAGGAGGGGAGGTTAGAGATACTTCTAGCAACAAGGTGGGTAACAGATGAAAAGTAGAATAACAAGCTTATTTTTAAAAATTTGATTCACTGGAAACATTTGAGGGATGAGGGGGATGGCGACTGTACAGCACAGGAGACTGTGGGAGAAGTTGTATGTGGTTTTGTTCTGTTTCGTTTGTGTGGTTTTTTTTTTTTTACATCTTTATTGGAGTATAATTGCTTTACAATGGTGTGTTAGTTTCTGCTTTATAACAAAGTGAATCAGTTATACATATACATATGTTCCCATATCTCTTCCCTCTTGCGTCTCCCTCCCTCCCACACTCCCTATCCCACCCCTCTAGGTGGCCACAAAGCACCGAGCTGATCTCCCTGTGCTATGCGGCTGCTTCCCACTAGCTATCTATTTTACCTTTGGTAGTGTATATATGTCCATGCCACTCTCTCACTTTGTCACAGCTTACCCTTCCCCCTCCCCATATCCTCAAGTCCGTTCTCTAGTAGGTCTGTGTCTTTATTCCTGTCTTACCCCTAGGTTCTTCATGACATTTTTTTCCCCTTAAATTCCATATATATGTGTTAGCATACGGTATTTGTCTTTCTCTTTCTGACTTACTTCACTCTGTATGACAGACTCTAGGTTCATCCACTTTATTACAAATAGCGCAATTTCGTTTCTTTTTATGGCTAATATTCCATTGTATATATGTGCCACACATCTTCTTTATCCATTCATCCGATGATGGACACTTAGGTTGTTTCCATCTCCGGGCTATTGTAAATAGAGCTGTAATGAGCATTTTGGTACATGACTCTTTTTGAATTATGGTTTTCTCAGGGTATATGCCCAGTAGTGGGCCGCTTGTGTTTTGAGAACAGTGAAGTCCCCTTTTGAACAGATTAACTTCCAAGTGCCTGTATGATTAGAAATTTTACTCAAAACTCACCACTGCCACCTTGTGGAAGTACAGCAAAGAACCGAACTGTGTTTAAAGTCAGTATTTAACACTGGTCAGCTAGCTGAGGGGTTCCCAGCTTTTTACCCCCAAAGGGTTTTATTATCTACCCTCCCCCCAAACTGAATCTATGATTTATGAAACTAAAAAACATCATTTATTGACAATTTGCTTTCCCATTTTTATAAATCAGATACATATATAAATGCCAATCAGAGCTTCTGATCCATGATTATCAACTAGTATTTGTATTTTGAGTTGATTTCATTCTAATCAAAATCAGAGAAGCATCAGGTTTTCGTCATTCTTATACAGTCCCTGTTAAATAAATGTACGATTTGTTAGTTGTTTTGTTTATTTTTTAATAATACAAATAGTTTGCAAAGCCTCAATACTACCTGCAAAGTGATCCAAGTCTGTGGCCTGTGTTTACAAATCATGGATCTAATCCGGTGGTTTTCAACAGGGGACGACTGTGCCCTTCAGAAGACACTGGACAATGTCTGGAGACATTTTGGTTGTCACAACTTGGAGGGAGGGCGTTGCAACTGGCATCTACTTGGTAGAGGCTGGGGATACTGCTACAATACATCCATTCTACAATACAAAGGGCAGTCCCCACAACAAGAATTGTCTGGCCCCAGATGTCACTAGTATTGAGGTTGAAAACCCCGATCGAGTCCAATCCCTTCATTGTTATCAGCGAAGAAACTGAGACCCAGAATGGTCACATGACTTTTCAAATTAGGCAATACATTCAAGGGTTCCAGAAATAGAACATATAAAAAGGCATACAGGACTTGAACAGACATTTCTCCAAAGATATACAAGTGGCCAATAAGCACATGAAAAGTTGCTCCACATCATTAGTCATTAGGGAAATACAAATCAAACCCACAATGAGACGGCTTATTATTATGATTACTAGGATGACTATGATAATATTTTTTAATGGTAAATAAGTGTTGGTGAGAATGTGGGGAAATTAGAAATCTCATACATTGCTAGTGGGAATGTAAAATGGTGCAGGCATTGTGGAAAGCAGTTTGGTAGCTCCTCAAAAAGTCAAGTACAGAATTACTGTATGACCCAACAATTCCACTCTTATATTAGAAGGATCAATCCGTGATAGCGTAAACATCCTCCACCTTCTGCTATAAGTGCAGTATAAAGACTGTAGCGGGCCTCTGCTCACAACGCAAAAGAAACAGATGGAGCGGGAGCCCACCACACCATGTTCTAGATTCCATCTAACCTCATCTGAAATATATTCTGTACTTACTTCGGTGCGTTTCACGTCCCTTAGCCTATCTAGTCTTGCTTCTCCCACTTCCCCTGAAGTGGGTTGACATGAGCATTGAGCATTACAGAACAGAGAGAAGGGGACCGTGTCAGAGGAGACCTCCCAGCACAGATTCTGTGGGAAAGTGAGGACACCCGAGAGCCCCAAATTCGTTCTCCCAGGTGTACAATGACAAAGGAACCCCCCACTAGCCAAGTTGGCAAGACATCACGTCCACTCTACAGGGTACACAGTGCACTCTCGAGGTAGGTGAGCAAACGAGAAACCAGAGCCGCCTCACGGCATTTGCAGCCTCGCAGGTATCCTCCCGTTGGCTTGGAGCAGCCGGTTTCCCAGAGGCCCGCGCACTACCATGGAGGCGCGCACCCACTCGGCGCAGCTGGTTGCCAGGAGACATGCCCAGCCACCTCCTCCAATCATCATGCACCTCTTTGCGTCCAATCACAGAAGCCAGAAGAGAGGTAGTCGGAGGTGAAAGGTCACGCTGCTATTTGGCGGCCATTTCTCTGGAATCTACGCGGGTGGGACCCTGCTGTGGCTACTCCAGTCACGAGGGTCGGACGACAGCTGGGTCGGCGGCGAGTAGCCTGCAGCATTTGCTCACTACTGCAGCAGTAGTCGCGATGGTAAGGAGAAAGAGAGCGGCAAGTGTCCCGTGAGAGAGAGAGAGAGGGCGGGTGACCAGCCTTGCCGGGCCTGGTGGTTGGTTCGCGCGTTTCCCATTCATCAGCGTGAGGCGCGGCGCGCCGGGTGGCCGGCCCCTTTCTCCCTGCTCTGGGTGTCTGAGGCGCGCCCTCCTTCCGAAGCGCTCCCCTCCCCAGGAGTGCCCCTGCCCCCTTCCCCGTCTTCTTCGTTTTGTATCCGAGCCTGAGGTGTCCTTGCTGCCTGGGGCCATAGGGCTGGGGTAAAAATGCAGCGGTTTTTCACGTCCCACTTACCACACTCCACAATCCGCTTTCGTCCCGTGATGTTGGGGGGCCCTGCAGCCCTTTGGAATACAGAGCCCAGGCTTTGAGCATTCTCCTGTTCGTTTAGTAAAGCTTTACTGAGCGCCTGCCACCTGCCAGGACCAGGTAACATTCTAGGTACTAGGAATATAGGATAAAAAGTACTGATGCGGACCCTGCTCTAGGTTAACTCAGACATTAATCAAACAACGATAAATACATAATTTCGAATAACGTTAACTGCTAAGAAGGGAGCAAACAGGGTGCTGTGAGGGGGCGCCGTGGTGCGTTAGAAGAGTGGTTACAGATGGCATCCCTTGGAGGAGGAATTGAACCTGAAATCTAAACGATATGGAATGCAGCCCCGTGAAGAGCAGGAGGAAGCGTGTGTACCTCAAGCTCAGGGAACAGGAGCACAGGCTCTGAGGCCGGAAGGAACACCTGACTAGCTGGAGGAATTGAGAGAAAGCCATAGCCGCCTGCAAGGATAGTGGTCATGAGATAGGGTCGGGCAAGACCTCTTAGGCCGTTTTAGGAGGTCTGGGTTCCACTCCAAGTGCAGTTGGAAGCCATCGAAGCATTTTAAGCAGAGACATAGTATGATAAAAATAATACTTGCCGTGTGGCTAATAAGTTGGAGAAAAAGACAAGTGAAAACTGGAGACCCATTTGAGATTACTGTGAATGTGCTTATTCTAGAGGGTTTAGTAGCCAAGTTTCTTGGTTGTTTTCTTTCTTTGGGCCAATGAGTGAGCAGATGAGGAAAGGAAGAAAAGTCTGAATTCACTGGGGGTACTGAATTCACCGGTTTGCTGAATAAACAAACATTAAGTGACTGCCCATATGTAGGAGGCACTGCAAAGTCAAGGAAGACCCAGTCCTAGCTCCTGGAATTCAGTTGAAGATCGTGGAGAATGATCTGCCCCTGCCTCCTTCTGTAGTCTCATACAAAACTAATTTGTGTGTCCCTGAGATCCCTTGTTGATTCACTCTTCCCTCCTTTTACATAGGTACCCCCACCCCCACCCCACCAGATCAGCCCTTTTCCCTCTGGAAATACCTCTCATCCTTTAAAACAGAGGCATTACTTATTTCAGGCAACTTTTCCTTTTCTTTTAACCCTGGATTGTTTGATTGTTTGGTACCCTTGTACATAGCATATCTCCTCTTACTACATTGCAAATTGTCTATTTGCATGTGTTTTGGGCCTCCCCCCTCCCACTGTGGGCCTCAGGACAGGGACTGTTATCTGCTTTTTTTTTTTTTCTTTTCTTTTTTCTGCCTTTACCTTTGTTTCTTTATGGCCTTGGAACAGTGAGTGATGTATATTAGGTGTTTAGTGTTCTTAAGTGAACAGTGAATACTTTTACAAGTCTTGATGGATTGAAGGTGAAATTGGCTAACTGGGTATTTAAATTTCTCTGATGCTCTTCAACAAAAGTGAAAATTATGTAATAATGTGAGAGAGAAACAACAGTTTTGCTTCATTTGGATACTATAAAATATTGGTGATTTGATAGAGAAGAGAGTAGGTAATGGAAGCCAAACTAAGGAAAAATAATCAATTGGGTTCTTTTTTTGTTCTTTGTGCAGAGTTTGCCCCTCAATCCCAAACCTTTCCTCAATGGATTAACAGGAAAGCCAGTAATGGTGAAGCTTAAGTGGGGAATGGAGTACAAAGGCTACCTGGTGTCTGTAGATGGCTATATGAACATGCAGGTAAGCTGAAGAGTTACAAAGATCATTAAATTGTATTTATTTTTCTTCACCTGACTCCTCAAAGGTTTAGTGTGACTTACAAAGATGTAATTAATTTAATTGACAAACACAGAGCAAAATTCAGGAATAAAGTCAAGGCCAAGGAGGGTGTTGTAACTGTGATAACTATGTATGAGACATATTAAACCAAGATTCAAGCACGGATTTGACTCCTAGTGGTTAAAAGTAAGAAGAGCTCAGACATTTGATTCACAATGCCATAAGACAAATACACTAGAGTTCGCAGAAAAAGCAAAACTTTTCCCAGCACTTAGCTCTGAGAGAAACTCCAGTGAAATTCTTAAGTCTTTTGATGAATGCTAAATGTACAACATCAGAGTAATTTGATAAAAGCAATTCTTTCTTTTTTTTTTTTTTTTTTATATGACAAATGGAAAAAACACCATATATTTAACTTTTGGACTGGTTTTCATTTTTTTTTTTGGGGG